AAGTATAATATAAGCAAAAGGAATAAAACATGATTACTTAAAGAGATTCAAGTATAATATAAGCAAAAGGATAAAACATGATTACTTAAAGAGATTCAAATATAATATAAACATCCACATTTCTTCAAACTTTCACATCATCGTCAGAAATAACATCACGGAAAATACACAAGTGTATTTTAACACAAAAAAGAACACTTCACTGCTCTTGGCAGATACAGCAGAAAAGATATTTCATCCTTACTTCATGTTCCTCCAATGGCTCACTGGCAAACTTAAGGATTTGTACGCTAAAAACCAGTTTCGATTGCCGTGGTAGGCAAAGTGCAGATAGCACATTTGTAGCTTTGCGCTTAAAGCAAACAGTGGATTTACACTGCTCAAATCAGGGGATCGATTCCTCTCGGTGGACACAGCGGATAGCCCAATGTGGCTTTACTATAATAAAAACACACACACCGCTGTCCCACTGGGTGACTAAATCAAACAGACAAATAATACCTTATTTCTTTGTTTCAAAATCTTGATTATTTGCAAACTTCGCAACTGTTTGATTTTCTTCCTTTCAGGAAACCACAGTGGTGAAAGAGGACCTATTATTCAGTATATATCTGTGAGGAATTCCCCGGTGGCTCAGTCACAAGCTTCACGGCTCATGATACTAAAATTAGGAATTCGGTCATTGCAAATAACTCATTATGATTATATTACTCTCAAAAAAAGACCACTTGATTCCTTTATATTTGCTTATATTGACTGTAACTGTGTTTTTGTTTCATGACCTATTATATAAAGCTGTGGTACATAGGATGACACAAATATACTTTACACGTTTCCTTGGCGACTTGAATTGAAAACAGCTGTTTATTCCATGATTAAAAACCACTAACAAGATAAAATCTGGAGACGGCTTGAATGGGTAATGACAGAAACTTTATTCCAAATGTACAACGTTTCGACAATATTTTATCATCATCAAGTACCTGATAATGACAAAAGCTTGTACATTTGGAATAAAGTTTCTGTCATTACCCATTCAAGCCGTATCCAAATTTTATTTTCTAAAAAGTGGGTTCTTCGTCACAAACAGGATGTTATTTGATTCATAATACTAAACAGGCATTACACTTTCATAAAAGGACTTTCCCCTAAGGTGTTACCCTCTTCATGGATTGCGAGTACACACCTTACGATACTATACTATACAAAATGGCTTATAAGTAAGGGGATTCTCTTTTAGGGTTTATAGATTTGATGTGTTGTTGGACTGATATCATAAAGGTGCTCAATGTATTACAAAAATTGCTGCTATCTAAACAGTCTTCTATTCCAACAAGTTAATGTGGAAAAAATTACGACAAAGTGTGATCTGGTAGTTAGAGTACACGGAATGTGAATCCGAGAGTTCCTTGTTCGCGTCATGTTGCCTTAATAATGCGCTCTGTACTTTCGGATAACGGACGCTGTGTTTGAGTGACAGTCAAATCCCGTCTTTCCTCTAGCCTAGCAATTCAAATTAGGGAAGGTTATGCACAGAGAGTCCTTTTGAAGCTTAGCTCGAAAATTCTGGAAAAAGTAAGCAGTTAGCTGTATACATTGTTTTGAACCACCCTACATAAAACATAATGGATTGTCAAAACCCGGAACCCTCAGATTGCGAGTCAAGCGCCATAACCACCTGGCCATGCCAGGCTGACGACATAATCTAACTCCTGGAAGATGGAAAGTAGATGCCAAACAGAGACCGCGGTTCAAAAACTTTACAAGGACTGGCAGAAATTTGTCGTACAAGAAAATTTCATGTTTCTCTATGCATGATTATCTAGAAAATTTAATGTTTTTCTATGCATAATTATCTAGAAAATTTAATGTTTTTCTATGCATAATTATCTAACTTTACTGTTAAGGATGGTATAGTGAGACTCTTCCTCTCAAGAGAACGTCTCATGAAATATTACGTACACATGCTTGCAAACTATTCAGCTAAGCTGGCACAAAAGAAAATTTTAAATTCATAGCAACTTAAAATGCGTGCTCAATGGTTCAAGTCAGACAGTATGTCAGAAAGAAATGCTGGAAACAACTGCATCACCATACACGCTGGTGACAATGTTGGAAAACATTTACAGAAATACCATTACGTTATAGACCACTCGTAATAAGATGGAGTTGGTGTCATATTTTTGAAGAGCCATTGCTAAAAAAAGACGCACAAAATTGTTTAGAGAAGTGACAGATCCATGGAAAAATTTAACAGACTATTCAAAACTTAAAGCTGTGAAAGTGAAAAATAATGCGATCAGTCTAACAAACATGAAATTCCTATTGAACAAAAGTTAGTCGACTGATGGCTTTATTGGCGAATTTATTTTAACTAGAGCATGAATGCAGAATAGCGGGAAGAACGATTGTATTCATGAAAAAGAAATGTATTCTTTATTTGGATTCGGTGCATGGTCTTTATAAAATGGTATCCTGGAAAACATAAAGTTTCATGGACTATCATCAGAAGAAGAGCTGGAAGAGGATGACCGAATGGACTGAATGAACAGTTCATGAACCAAACGGTATTCCACCTTAGGTGGGCTATTGGAAATGCAATGATTTTCTCTGACGACATGACAAGCGTCTGAAAATACTGAAATTTTCTGGAATAACTGAAGGTGTAGCATTCCCAAAACCAAAGGAAGGATTATATCAGCCACCCCAAAGTGACTCAAATTGCCAGTTGTCACTTTTAGCCCCCACTCCCCTGCTAATCATGGTGATATTCCTGTCAAATGCAATTTCAGAGCATTTGAAATCGAAGTGATCCACGTGTTTCATAGATGTTCATTATATTTAAAAAAATCATAAAATGTGCAAGATGATGTTTTGATAGGTGAAATTCCAAGACTCGTATCGCCTTGAATGTGTAGTAAAAAACTAGTAAAGATAGGTGGAAATTGGGGATTAAATATGGGCTGTAAACCTTTTTTACTGATTTTTCAATGAGGTCAAAAATGAAGGACTCCTGAAAAACTGAGTTGGGTACTGCGCTTAATGCTAAATATATATATATATATTGTTTGTTTCTCTATGGTAAAGCCTCTAAAGCTATTTCCCACAATCCCTAAATTTGAACTGCCTAACTGATGGAAGGCTAGTTATACACACAGTTCAATAATTGAACAAAAATTTTCATTTAAAATCCTAGGTTTATTATGTCCACAAAATTTCATGAGCTGAAACTAACTCATGCTAAAAGAGTATTGTAATTATTCGTTTATCATTAACCTGCCCTTCAAACGGAAATTGCACACCTGATTAAACCCGATTTAAATAGTGTTTTAAAAAAAAACACAAGTTTTTTTGAAGGACCACTGACCCACTGGAAGTTTTCGTGGCGGCCAAATCCGCCTTTGAGATAAAGGTGCCACTAAATACACGTGGTCTTATACTTTGATTGTGTTTGTGTGTTAGAAATAAAGGTTGTTTCACTGTGTAAAGCATTTTATCTAATCTTTTTGTTTGCTTCAAACACCGTCGAGGTTACAATAATTCAGATTTTGCCCCGTAAAACATTTTCTGGCGAATTTCCAGTTATTCTCCGACTCCTACATGATTATTCACAAAGTAATCAATGGATCTGAAACTACCGACTGTATCGGAGAGGTTTTTTGATATGACAGAAACATTTTTGTAGATTTGGAAATGATCCTTGTTATTACTGTAAGGTAAAGTTGGAGTAATCGAATGGCATACCATTTGTTGCATGATTTAGTGCTATTTGAGTGTCCCGTCCGGGCAAAAATATGCTCCTCCAGCTTTTACCCATTGCCTTAACCCTTTTAACACGGGCTCGGTCCGTCGGATCGATCTCGTAACCACTATGTCCTTGTTATAGTTTTCATGTCATAACCTTTAAATTAGTATGC